CATGTGAAAGGGTCAAATATATATGAATATGAAGAGCAGAACCCTGATGTGCTGTTGGAATTTTTTTTTTTTTTGGTTCTGGTTATCTGCAAAATGTACCCCCCTTGTGAGCATAACTAGGGAGTGCCTGTACAAACATTCTCGTTTCGCCTGTTCCACATAATCGTTTCTTGTATCATATTTCTTCTGACCTCGCTATCTGAAACCAATTATAGGAGATCCATTTGGGCTGCATCTATTTTCATAAGAAGCCTAGGCAGCAGTGTTTTTCTCAGAGATGAATATCAACATCAAATATGCTTCTGAGTGCTTTGTTATTTATGTTTCAGAGAGATTTTGTAGCCTTCAGCTCTCAAGAATGTGTCACGCTGTGCTGTTTATACATTGAAGATATTAATGGGCGTAGATGTCATTTTTCATTTTAATGTCTCAAATGCAACAGGCTGATAGGTTAAGCATTCCTATTTTTATGGGGAGAGATATGAGTGATGTATGTTTTTTTCCCAAATATACATATATTTACTTTGAAAAAAAAGTTATTTATAAATCTTTGCATTCTCAACATTTTTGGTTTTACTGGATGTTTCCAAACAAATCTCAAATAATTTGATTTCTGGTGAAAGTTTTCAGTGTTTTTCAGAATAAAAGCAAGGGTCTGACAGGTTGTAGAAATTTTTCACCCTGAATTAATTCTCACAGTGACCTTCTCAGTAGAATTACTTTTTTTGTGAAGTTTCTCACTAGCATAACATTAATACTACTATAAAACATTCATGGTTAAAATTTGCTTTTTTTACAAAAGTTTATTTTGTTTACAATTACAATGTAACTGTCAGCAATGATGTTTTCAATCACTATTTTACAGCAAAATGCATTAATTGCTAAAAAACAAGTGCACTCCCACATTTCTGCTGCTAATTTATCTGTATCTTTAGTCTGATCTCAATATTTTTTACTTTATTTAGTTCATGTGTGCAGTACATAATGATTGCATTCACTGTAGGGGACCAGTACATGCACATACATCTCAGTTTCCTTCTTCCCCTCCTCCACCCACTATTATTTTTCCAGCATCAGATTCATTTACAGATCTGTATTTTATTAGACCTTATGCAGTGAATTACCATATATACAAATTGAAAAACAGACAGACTACTGGGCCGAAGAACATATAAAATATGTAAGACAATTATGAAAATATCCTATCTTAGTATTCTTTAGCTTTACCAAAACAAGATAACTGCACTAAGTAAAATATTCCCATAATTAAAAACAAATGCATTTTTGGAAACTATATGTAGTATGGTTGCCTTAGCATTTTCTTTCTTATTGTTCATTTGAATTAGTCTCGTAATTTTTTTAAGGGAAGTTTTTTTAAAAAACTTTTGCTTTTTGTTCTATATTAATTTGGTGAGAAAGACAATGATATAAATAGCTAGTGACACAGAATTTATACATAGCCCTTAAATTTATCTTTTCTATTTGTCAGAGTGACAAGTAATTTTCAAATTAATATTTTATGTAATTTGATGTCTCCTAGCTTCTATTGACAAATTCAACTGAAATTTTTCATTTTTTGAGTAGGTAATATAATAAATTCCCAAGATAAACTAAACACCTCTGAATAGTTGTTTATTGAAATTCAATCCAAATGTGTTAACCAGTAGAACAGAAATTAAAATGTCATCTCATGCATGGAGTTAGAATGTAAACTGCCACAGATTTCTACTTAGGAGCTTTAAATAATCCTGTCTTTTGCAATTATTTTATCCTCCTTCCCCTTTTGTGTATTATGGCAATCTCAACTGTTACCAAAAATGTATAATCAAGCAGTTTCTTTTCATAAATGTGTGTATATGATGATCTTCAAGTATTTTAAAGATAATTCTACAATTCTAAGTGTCTGCCTTCTAGTTTCTTACTATCTCTATTCATTGATTTATTTATATTTTAGGTCTCATATAGGAGACATTATGTATATATAACTATCTCTGATTTATTTTGCGTAGCATGATGAAAATGATTAAGACATATTATATACATATGCACCATTGCATAAACAAATACCAATATTTTGTAATGCAAATGTACAGGAAGGACAGAAGGAAGGAAGGAAGGAGGGAGGGAGGGGAAGAGAGGGAGGGGGAACAGTATATGTGTATATATGCATGACACCAATAAAGATATTTTCATCTAGGAACAAATATAACTATATTTGCATGTAAAAACTTAAGTGCTTGAAACATAGAAGCATACTTCATCCAAATATCTTGAGGCTCTTCATCGTTATTATTATTTTAATAGTAATGTAGGTGTATGTTTTTGAATAGTGAAATTTTTATAAGCATGTATATGTATATATTCAAGTGTTTTTCTAAAGGCCTCAGGCATTCACATGTCCACTGGATTACTTGAAATAAACGAATATAGTACACACATGAAAAGAACACAGTCCTAGATTCGGGAAACAGAAACCTGAGGGTTTTATTTTTATCAGTTTTTGCATTGTCACTTTAGTCAAGTTATTAAAGTGTTGACTAATTGTGTATAAAACAAGAAAGTGGGGGCAGACAATGTCTAAAGTATTACAGCTCAAGAACTCTGTAATTCTGTTAGTAATGATGTATCAGAAAGTCGGCTATTGTAGGATTTGAAAGGGGTAGCAGTTATTAGTAGAATATGTAGAGAGAGCCAGGTTAAAGATGATGTGGACATTTATCCATAGAAAGAGTATATATATATATTTTTTTTCTTGATAGTTGTTAAATTCAATTCATAAAAAAGATTATATTATTTTCCTCTTTAGTCCTATCACGTACTATCCTTCCCTGGAAATTTACTCACCGTAATTGCATGACTCCTGACACAGAGTAGAGATAGTATGGTACACTGGAATGTACTCAGGCCTGGAAGCTGTGAGACTTTGAAAACAGCACTCATAAATTGTTCTGTGACCTTGAACAAAGCAACTGATGATGCTAGTCCTTATTTTCCTCATTTGTTTAAATGAGGAAGTCATTAAATGATTTCTAAGATTGCTTTTAATCTTAGTCATTCACGAGTCCAAGATTCCAAATGTATTCCTTAGAATCCTTTCTTATAATACCTGACGAGTTTTCAGTAAAGCTAAAACTTTATAAGTGTATATGTAAAATGAACTATGAACTCAAAAGGAGAAGACAAATTTTTTTTAAATAACTGATATATGGATTTTGACTTCTACAGGGAAAACAATTGGTTGTTTTTTTGTTTTGTTTTAGTTTTTAAATTGACGCAGTGTAGCTTACTCCCTAGGAATTTCTATTTGAGAAATAGCACTTATTATTTTAGAAGTTATAGTTAAGGAAAGTATATATCACTGAAGATATTAAATGAAATTTTCAATGAGTTTTGTGACAATAATTATCAAATATGCTTTTTTTTTTCCAAACTGAATTTTATTATAAATTGCCTGAGTTCACTGTCATGTGCCACATTCGGAAATAGCTTGACTTGTAATTACTTGAGAAGTTTAAAAAACAAAAGGGAAATGATTGGTGAGTGAGTGTGTCTCCGAATGGAAAAAGTGTGCTTTGCAAACTGTGCCAGATCCTGCGGTGGGAAGACAAATCAATGTTGTTAGGAAATGGTTCGAGCGCATTCAGTTTGTTTACTTTGGTTTCTATGTCTGCCTGCCTTCTCACAAAACTTGCTTGGAGCCAGACTGTAGCAGCCCTCTCTCTGTCTTTTCATAATTGATCAGGGGATGACTGCCTTCCCTGAGGGTTAAGACGTGGCAACTTTTTCTGTTTGCTCAGCATCTCAATGCAGTAGTTCAAACATTGTTCACACCAGCTGGCAGTGTAATGCCATATGCACATCTTGTCAAAGCAACTGTTGTCATGGATACTAGAAACTCTCTTAAAAACAGATCATTGATTCCGATCGAAATTGTACTTTTTATCAGCTGAGAATCTTAATTATTATAGAAGAATATTGACCTAACAAGTTTTTCCCATTATGGAAAAATTTATCTTGTATGCTAAAACAGTGAGTAACAAAGTGAGGTGTTTATTTGAGTTTTATGTGTTGAAAGATCTCATCACTAGTATTCATTGAACTCAGTTGTTGAGAGAAAATAAAATTTTAAATAGAGACTGTCAAAGTTTTTTTTTAAAGTTTATATTGCTATCTCTACCACAATTGGCAATGTGTTTGTGTTATAGCACTAGTTTTTACAAGAGAACTTCATATAGCATATTTACTAAGCTGCCCCTCCTCCTAAATGAAAGGCTTATATTAGTTTCTTATGTTAAGTTTTATTTTCCTAACTGGGTAAGAAAACATAAAAATAAATGAAAACATCTTCTATTTTGATTGGTATTCTGTCACACATAGAAACAAACCTGATTGGTTGAGTGGTAATTTCTTTGTTCTCTGATTTTGCTAAGAATGCAAATGAAAACCACTCAATTTTATTTGGCATTAAAACTGCACTTTATTTTGTCAAAGGAGAGGTTTCCCCTTGAATTGTAAGTACAAAAAATGTTTTTAATCTTTAGTGAAAATCCTTATTAATTCACTTTCAAGATAATCTGATGTTGATTTGTCAAATTTAATTACAGCTTCCGGTAACACTTGAAGTCTACTGCTTTTGCTTCAAAATTGTAATATGAAAATGCAAATGAATGATAATTTGAAAGGGAGTGGGCATTTCAGTTGAACACTTAAAAGACAAGTTCCTTGTGGGAATGAGGTTATTGATGCAGTTTATGATTTTTTTTTCTTCTTTACACACACTAAACAAATTAAATTTATCTCCTGTAGGATTACATGAGTCTCTGTGATTTTGAATAATGTTGTATGTGTGTGAGTGTGTGTATGTATATATATATATATATATTAAAATTTTCAGCACATTAAAAGAAAAGGGAAATTAGGGTTCTTGTGAATGTTAACTAGGGTAACTGATAATTTAACTTGAAACAAAATACTTAGACATTATCCCTTTTTACTTCTAGGCTCTTCAGGCAGCAAGACAACTTCTTTTACAGCAGCAAACAAGTGGACTGAAATCTCCTAAAAGCAGTGATAAACAGAGACCACTGCAGGTTAGTAAAGGACTCCTATCCTTGAGATTTTATTTTTTTAAAAAGTTCATAATAACAACAGATGTGCAGATGCAACTATAAATACACACATAATTATTACATTTACTTATATAGGTAATTTTAATTCCAGAGAGAAGAATTCATCTTATCTTAATTTTAGAAAAGAGAAAAAATTCTATTAGCACAGATTTTAAAAGTTTTTAAGTCTACTCCTTGCAAAAACTATGTAGGAACCAAATACATAGCATACATTAGTACACATAAGTTAAATAATTTCCTATGAAATTCCCTTGTGGGATTTTAGTGAGATTTTATGCATACATAGGTAAAAATGTAAAATTCTTCCTTAAAAGCAAAGTCATGGTAAAATGGTGTGGAAGGAAACAAAGGAGTCTTAGATAACCTTCTGCAGTTGTATCCAAGTGACAAATGCCGAAAATTTCCATGTTTGCCAAAAAAACTGTTTGAGTTTGCCAAGGAGTTATTGCTGTTGCTACAGTTATAAAAACACATTCTGGATTTGTTGTCCCTACTCACTCTGTTTGTCCTGTGAAACTGCTAGTGTGTATGTCTTTTAAAGTAACTTTTTGTTACATAATATAACAACTGTTTTATAGTCTTCTCAACCAAAATATGTAGGCTATTTTCTTGGGGGAGGGATAGTATTTAAGGTGAATGTTTAAAATGTTTGGAAAGTAGAATCCTGAAACATCTCTCAGTGTTCCTCAGCTTTGTTGCAAGATAAGCAACACTTTTTCCTGAATTTTATGTCATGTCCATGTCTAATAAGGCAAATTTAGGAGTTTGTTTTTTTTAAGTAATCTCTTGTTTCTGTATTTTACTAGAGCAGCCTTTAAAAAATGGCCTACCTATCCTATTTTCATTTTATGTATACTTGTACTTATTAGTAACTAAGTCTTACATTATGGCCTTCTAAAGTTTAGTTTATGACAAAGAATCATAGGACTACTGAGCCATGCAACCCACAAATTACTTATTACCTAAAACAGGATTAAATTATGGTTAATTAAATTTCAGATGAGAGTGTTGTTTTCCTGGGAACCAAATGATATGTTGGGGTGGGTGGGAAGCAAAGGGACTAGAGGATAAGAGGTATTTCAGGAGTCTAAAGTAAATGCCTGCCATGATTACAAATGAAAGTTTTCTTGAATCTGCTTGAATCTAAGCTCCTTTTTAATGTTGTTATCTTTTAAAATAAATTCTACATTCTTTTGTTTAGTCAGTAAATCTGCTGTGCTACTTTTTTCATCACCATATTCCTCCCCAAGTTATAATGGTGAGTGTAGTATTTCTGAAGTTATCTCATTCCTAGAGCCTCTCCATGCATTTACAGAACAGGAAATTTTACATAGTAAAAGTTAGGCAAGACAGCAAATGAATGTTGATCTTCATTATTGCTTCAGATACGGGTTTCTGTTTTCTTGCTGGTGAAGAAAAGGAGATTTAGGTGCTGGCAATATAAACCATACATAGGAAAGTTATCATTTTAAATGTCTGAAGAATACTATTGAATTAATTATTTTAACATATTTCGTGACAAAATAGAGAAATTCTCAGCTCTTTTTTTCCTCTGCAAAGCTAAGGAGAAGTTTCTTTATTTCTTGTTACCAAGGTTATCTCTAGAAATAATAGCTGGGCTTTACATTTTTTATTTTCTTTTTGTTGCTGTTGTGCTGGAAGTCAAGATTTGATACTTTAATTAGCATATAAGTTTTCTTAAAAATGCTCACATTAATGTAGGAATACTAACTTCTCTAAAAGAAAAGAAGTCTTTATGTACCAATTATTTTACAAATAAATGTTGAGCGTAAGTCCTCCGTTTTGGTATTTCAGCATGAAAGGGTGATTAGAAACATTATAAATACATTTTAAAAATTGCAGTTTCTCACTATACTTCAAAAACCTTCATCGTGTCACTTGTATGTAGTGTTTTGCGATGCATATTAATCTAAATGTATTTCTATTGTATACATTATAAAACTGTAGCATTTTCATTTTACTTGTAATTTTCATGTGATTTCTATTTATATCATAGAAACGAGAAGTTAGCTTATATATATGAAAATTTAGAAATAATTAAGGAATACTTATTCACCAAAATATACACTACAATTTATGTAATATAAACTTAACATATTTATTACTCCATAGTATTTGATAAGCTTAGCAGAAACTGTATTAACATTCTAACCAAAATCTAACAGCACTTCATAGTAGCTTACATATCTACTGTCAAAGAAGATTATTAGGTCTTAACCTTGCATCTGCAAATACTATTTTGCATCAGTTGTACTATTTGCCACTTGTGTTTAAGAAGTGGAATATTTCATTTAAAATTTTAATCATTAAAGTGAAATTTACATATTTGGAAGTTTTCTGATATGATTCTCTGAGTCTACTTTTTTTTTCTGATAAGTAAAAGTTTAACCAAACTTTTATAATAGCATTGGCATAGATCATCCTCTAAATCTCTAAAAGATAATTGAAAATGGTTCAGAATCTGCATTTGCAAGGCAAGATATTTGGTATTAATAGATATGGTTCTTACCATGCCAGGTATAATATTTTTAGAAGATCAAAAGAGGTACTTTATATTTTTATTTTAAAATACACTTCTGATAGACAACTATTTTATAAAGTTTGAAAGAATGTTGACTTTAAAAAACTGTTTTGATGGCTCAAGTCACAAGAACAATATTTAGTTGCTTGCTAACATTCTCCAGAATTTCTTTTAAATGTTAGAAAGTAGTGGTCAAATTTGAGGTGTGACATGACATAAAGTCTATTTCTAACAGATCAGTATTTATAGACTTTTTTCCAATTACATTTGGGGGGGTTGTACTACAGATGGCCTAGATACTAGCACATCAAATGCAAATTAGAAAGAAAAAATATCAAATCAGACAAACTTGAACATTTCATTTTCACATATAGTTATTTGGGTATATGTATTTTAAACATGCTTACATGTTCTTTTTATTATGTGGAATAGCACCTGAATATGTCCATTAGTGCAATGATTAGGGAGATATTGGTGAATAATGTATAAAGGTTGACATACAGAGAGGAGCTGATATTAATCAGAATATTAGTTCTTTATAATATTACTGAGTAACCAGAAAATATACTCTAGTATTAACAGCAGAAAATGGTCTTTAATTTTAATTAAGTTCTATTTGTTTCTACTCTAGCATTTCCTAGACATGATATATGAGGAAAGTTAGCCAAAGAGGATACCTAATATTTTCAATTCTGAAGCTAATTTCCAAATTAAAAAGAGTGCACACACAGATTACAGATGTACATGCACACTTCCAAAATCTGTAAATTAATTTTTGTAAAATACATTATCAATTTTCTAGCCTATGACAAATATACTTAATTTAGTTTAGATATGAAAATTGGTCGCATTATTGTTCTTGTTACATTTACAGCCATGAGACAGACTTGTGGTTCTTCAACAGCTGTGCAGAGCAGAGCCGTAATTTAAGGTAAATGCATCGCTTTGCTGTCTTAGATGAATATTAGTATTTAGCATTATAATCACTTCCTTCACTAGAGGCAAAAGCTCAATAAAACTACCTTTTACAGTAGATAATAAAAACTATACAAATGTTATAGTTTTGTCTAAATAATACAAGAATGGAATAGTAGAAAGAAAAGTGGAGTGAACATGGGAGTTCTATTCTGACTCTGCTACCAAATATCATATAAGAATGAGGAAATCACTTCACATCTTTAAAATGGAGACACTGAGCTAATTGATGCACTAGATCTAAAATTTCATACTTAAAAGATTTTTGTTTTTGTTTTGAAATGACAGGCATCTGGTTTTTCAGGATTAGTCATATCTGGTTGGATATTAATTTATAACCTAAGAATTATGAGTTTTAAATTTACAAAGGACAAACAAAACAAGTTTTGGACTTAAATTGCATATATATATATATATATAAGCATATAATTTTGCACATCTACATAAAGAAGTATTATATTTCTATTTATATACTTTTGTAACCTCATTTAAACATATGGTGATATAATGCAACGTAGCATCATTTCTGTCTTCTTCTTTGTTCTTGAATATTACAGTTAGCGTCATCAGACAAAGCTAAAGATTCTGTAGTATTCAGAGAGCCCAAGATTTTGTATACAGGTTAAAAATCAAGAATAAGATATAAAATTTTATAATTTTGAAATTAATAAGACATTCTACTGGAAATAATAACTTCAGGCTAAAGGATCAGTCATCACTGATCATCATAAAATTCCTTTTTGGGGGGGTATTGGGGATCGAACTCGAGTCTTTGTCCTTGGAAGGCAGGCGGTGGCACCACTGAGCTAAATACCCAACCCCATAAAATTCCATTTCTGATTAAAAATTCTTATCATTACTTTCTCATGGATCAGAATTAAAGAAAAGCTAAAGCGCATTAATTTTCTAAATACTTAAAATAACATTATCAGGAAGTTTATGGTATAGATTCAAGTAGGACAAATCTATTATAATGTAGAAAATTCAGATTTTTTAAATGAATCTCTTTGTTTATATTTTCTCTGTATCAAAACTTTAGAGGTGAGTCTAATACAAATTTTTAACCATAAAATTTAAAAAGAGTTTACGCTCTACGGACAGATCAGGCCTTGTGCATGCTGGTTTTTCTGTTCCTATGAAGAGCATTTCTAAAAAGCAGGACTAAATTGGCAAATTTACCTGAATGTCTTAGAATAAGATCTTCCAATTGTTGTGTTATTTACACCCCTGACCAGCTGTTTGAGGCTGACACTCTGTAGAGGAAGGGCTAGACTACACAGCCCTCCACTCTGAAGCACCTGTACGCAGCAAACTTCACTTGTGCTCTGCTCTTAGCATATGGGAGAAAGACCATGTGTTTCAGGTCTGAAGTCTGCCTGTCTCTTAGTGAGTGGCACTTCAGGTAGTATACCTTGATCCTTTGGAATGTGTTTCCCTCTCACTA